TGTTTTGTTGCGGGTTTGATCCGACCCGACCCAGTCCAGTAAAAAAAAAAAACTAAAACAAAAGCAAAAAAAAATTTATATAATGTGAATAAAAAGGATTAATTGATTAGGATAATTAATTTAGTTTATGATTAATAAAATTAATTAACTTTAATTAAAATAAATTAATCATTTTTATTGATCTTTATCTAAGATGATTATATTATTTAATTATCTTGATTAAAAAGATTTATAAACATGATTAATTAATTTTAATTAATTTTAATTAATGATAAATTAATCATTTAATTAAATCAATTATATTAGTTAATTAATTTAAATCCCTAATTTCCTTTAATCTTGCTAAGAGTCAAAAATTATCTTTTTTTATTTCAGTCTCATCCAAGGTTTTTTACGATTAAGCAACTTAGTCCACATATTTGAAATCTGTTCAAATCAGTCCTTTATATTTTGAATTTAATCAAATTGGTCCTTTATCTTTTGAATTTAATCAAGTTAGTCCCCTAACTTCTTGTTTATGTTATTGTGTGTGCTTGTTTGTCCATTTTAGTCCAAAAGTTTAAAAGTTGTCACAATTCGGTCCATGTATTTTTCAAGCTTGCTTATTAAGACTCAAACATAAACATAATAAATAAGTTGAATTAAAACCCCAATTTTAAAGTATGCAACCGTGTTTAAACGGAGGATTGTGAGGTGTGCGTATGCCCTTCCTCACTCCTAACCGAACCCCCGAACCCATCGCTCTGCGCAGACCTGTTTTAGGTGACTTGTCCCACCTTATAATTTGGACGAGTGGCGACTCCCTTTTTCTTATATATTTCACACTTGATTTTTCAATTTATTTTGAAAAAATCTCAAGTGGTCGTCAACACCGCCCCTATCGTCATGCTCTTCCATTTGATAATCAAGAGTGTCTAGCTGCTCATGGACATCACCCATGGCTAGCTCGAGCTTGGCCAGCCTCCTCTCATAGGCTGTAAATGCATCCCGCGATGCTGGCGACAATGCCTTGGACCTTCTCTTCTTCCAAGCGTCCCCACGGGTCTCCCGACAACCCCTCTCCTCTAGAACCTCTGCAACTTTGCTAGCCTCAACCCTCTGGCTTGCCATCGTCACGATCCTCCTCCATGTAACTAGGCTGTCAAATTACGCTCTGATACCACTTGTCACAGGAGGAGACTCTAGCTAGTCACCATGCGACACTTAGCTTGGATTTCACCCCTTAACCAAACCAAGTTAGCCTTCCCTTGGTGTTGGGCGCAGTCCTTCTATGGAACTAAGAGGCTTGTGAAGCTTAAAATGCAAAGGTTGGAAGTTAGGACAAAATGAGAGTTTATTAGATGCAAGGAAAATTTACAAGAACTTGAGTAAATGCTTGGCTAAGCACCCTCTGCCTTCTAAGGCTCCTCCTATTTATAGATGAGGCCAGCCACCCCAGGTAGAGGTTCTAAAGCATTCCTAAAGAGTCCTCATATTTTACACTGTTTAGAACACTCTCAAATCCTCCCTCCTAGCCTAATCCTAGCCTAATTCTAGAATTCTCCTTACTCTAGAATTATGTACAAGGCTCTAGAATTTTCTACATACAGCCCAAGCCCATAAAGCCCATTTTAGACCACTGTTCTGGTCCTTATCCTTGCTCATAGGCTGCTTCTGGAAACTTCCACGCGATTCTAGTTCACGCTTGGGCGTCAATACCGTACCTGCTTACGGCCGTGCCATCAAGACGCTCGGTGCGAGCACGCCAGGCCATCGAGTTCGCGACGTTGCACCGCGACCCTGGCGTTGGGACCCTTTTCTTCGGCGTTCGAGCTCGCGGTCCGTGACAGTGTGCTCCTTATTGAGACATGAGCTATTGGGGTGTGGTTATTGCTACAATATTGTTAAGGTTCTCAAATTTTTAATTTTTTAAAATAGTATTCTAAAATATTAGTTTTTTAATTAATATTAATTTATTAATTAATAAATATAAATTATGTTATCAATTATTAATTGATAATTATAATTATTAGTTATTTTTATTAATTAAATTAAATAAAATTAATATTTTTAAGGATAATATTATACAATTTTAGTAATTATAAAATTATTATTGGTAGTTATAGTTGTGTCCCTTTTATTGGTCTATCAAATTAGGTGGACCATTGGAATAACAGAGTTAAAGATTAACTATATGTTTGGATTAAAAGAAATAAAGGAGAGGGAAGGAAAAAAAATTCTTATTGATTAAATTATAATATTTTAAACATTATAATTTAATTGGTTAAAAAAATCTTTTCCTCCCTTTCATTTTCCTCTACCCAAACATATTATAAGTAGAATATTATAAAATAAAAGGTAGAGTACAAGATGACAAACAAAAGAGAGAGTTTCTTATTTCACCATGTGTTTTTTCATGTACAAATCATACAAACTTGTAGGCTTATATATAGGCTAAGGGACATAAGGGGGTTACATTAGCCATTGAGTAGGATTAAATGAGAGAATGAATGGCAACTTAATGGATTTTTGAATGGCACCTTAATGGACTTTTAAATGACACCTTAATGACCCTTTGAATGGCGTTTAGTGGGATCATGAATGACCCTTTAATGGTGAGGAATGATCCCTTAAGCACCTATTTTCGATAACTATCCAGCCATACGAAATTCTTCTTTCTGGACAACCACTTGAGTGCAACTGGCAAAACAACCTCTGTGCAAGATCTTGATAAAGTTCCTAGGATCTGTGCAAGATTATTGGAAGATCTTTAAGTAACAGTAATCTTTCTTGGCCTCTTCCAACACAATTGTAATTTGTGTAGTCACTTTTGCATTGAATATAGTGGTTGACAGTTGACGGAGACTCAAATAACATCTTCTGGTTGATTTTCCACGAGATTTCAAGTTCTTGGTTAGCATCAAAAGGTACTGTTTCAAGAATCAGGTTCACTCTCATGTTTTTGCCACCTAGCCCTTTCTGGCGAAGTTGGGCAACATTGCCAGTACCAAACTTGGCTGGCACAACTACCTTGCTTCGCCAGATGGGCAACGCCCACCCATCCATGCCTACCAAGCCACTGCTCCCAAGGTTTATCTCGAATATTTCCCATGAGCTTGGATTCATGAGTTCATGCCTACCTGTAGCGAAGATATAGTGTTGATAAGCACTCGTTTGGATGTTCAAGTATAAAATGCATAAAAGTGTGTAGCGAAGAAAGATACTCTCTTGTGCATTGAAGGAGATGATGAAGATAATCATGGCTATAGTCTTTTTGTCCCGTGACCACGATGGGTATTTATACACTATGGCTGTACATGGCTGGCATTATGCCAATAGAGAGTGAGCAACCTTGATGCGTGTTGTGATATCATTGTTTCAAGCCAAGTATTGTTAGTCGACGATACCTACAAATACATGAAATATAGAAGAAGTATATTACTAGTTAGGATTACTGGTGACCAATAATTTTGTCTCTTTGTATAAAAGAACAATGATGTGCCTGATCGCAAGCCATGTTATATAAGCATCATAGGGTCAGCCATGAATAGTTTTCCCATAGCTAGAGGAACAATAGTGGTTAACTTTGTTCATGGTTAGAGCGTGAACTAGTGAAATCGAAAGAGTATTCCCGCGTTAAGTCACTTAGGGGTAAATCTCATCAACCCAGATTCCGTCATAGCGATGGAGATGTGATGAAGATAAATGGAGTTGTCTCCATGAATGGGGGACGCTAGCTGCATCCATGGCCTCCGATACGATAAGGTGTGATACCACTAACAAACGTTGGCCTTTCTTATTGTACCCACAGCATCAAAGGGTGGTCCTGGTTGTTGTTGCTCGCCAGGCATCGCACCACCATGCACAGGTGACCACCAAGGGACCACTGGTCGTTACTTGATGGATTTCTATCATTGAAGGGTAGCCATCCCATCCAATTGTGGGGTTGCAACTATTACTGTCTCACGTTAATTGTATCAAGTTGTGCTTACTCTTTGTCCATTTTTGGGAGCCAGTGAGATAAGATATGTAGAGGTGGGTAGCGTTTTGCCCATTGCTAGAGGCTAAATGAGATAGTAAATTTAGCCCATTGTCTATCGTTGGGAGTTGTGGATGTAGCCCGTTGTCCACTGAGTGGAGCCATGTATATGTAGCAAAGTAGGCTTTTTATTCATTGCTAGGAGCCAAAAGGTGTGGCGATGAGCATCACTGTAAGAGACCATGACTGTTGAGAAGTGTCCAGCCATGTGTTTATAGTAAGATAGGCTTTTCATCCATTGTTGGGAGACAATTGTGGCAGTGAGCATAGCAGTAGAATTCGTGGCTGCAAAAGTGTCCAGCCATATTGCGAGGATAACATAACCATGTTTGGCCATGTATAGGAAAATGTTGTTAAGGTAAAATGTATCTACGCCATTTTCAGCAAATCAAACCAATGCTGTTCTCGGTGATGCATGAAAGAATGACGCTGAGTACCGCTTTTGGCGAAGCTAGCTTCCTTACAATTATCAGTAGAAAATAACATGACTGATGATAGAAGAACAAATCACATGTGTCCTTACTGATGTGGAGCCATACATGCCATCAATTTTAAACTAGTGCAAATTCATCCCTCAATAATGTGTAGAGAAAAACTTTGGAAAAATATATTTGGTTCTATCTCCTTTGATGAATCCTTCCTTTATTTGTGCAATGCATGTACTATTGTCCTCGTATAATAAGGTTAGATTTCTTATAATTGCTTTAAGACCACATGTTTCTTGAACATGTTGGATCAAAGATCTTAACCATACACATTCCTGACAGACCTTATATAGAGCAATAAATTCTAATTGATTTGAGGATGTGGTAACAACGATCTATTTGGTTGAACACCAAGAAGTTACGATACTACCATATGTGAACAAATATCTAGTTTGTGATCTCCCTTTAAGGGGATCAGACAAATATCTAGCATCTGCATATCCAATTAACTTTGGTTTTGAGTGCTTTAAGTAAAATAATCCCATATCTTTTGTTTCTTAAAGATAACAAAATAAATGTTTAATGTCATTCCAATGTCTTTGTGTTGGTGCAAAACTATATCTTGCTAACAAATTCACAAAAATGCGATATCAGGTCGCGTACTGTTAGCTAAATACATCAATGCACATATGCCATTTAAATATGGTACTTCATGACCAAGAATTTCTTCATTATCTTCACCAGGTCTAAAAGGATCTTTCTTTACATCAAGGGATTGAACAACCATTGGAGAGCCTAAAGGATGAGATTTGTCTATATTGAATCTCTTCAATATCTTTTCAACATAATTTTGTTGATGGACAAAAATTCCATTTGATAAGTGCTCGATTTGTAGATCGAGATAGAATTTAATTACTCCGAGATCATTCATCTCAAATTCTTTCTTTAAACATTCAACCGCTCTTTCAAGCTTTCCAGGTGTTCTAATGATATTTATATCATCAACATATATAGCAATAATAGCAAAACCAGGTTTTGACTTCTTGGTAAAAAATACTTGGGCTAATAAAATTATTTTCATATCCTTCTTTTAGATATATTCACTTAAGCGATTATACCACATTCGCCCTGATTGTTTTAACCCATACAAAGACCATGTTAATTTTATTGAAAATATCTCTTTTGGCATTGAGTTGTATGCTTCAGGCATTTTAAGTCTAATAGGGACTTTTATATAAATGTCACTATCAAGTGATTTGTATAAGTAAGCAATTACAACATCCATGAGGTTCATTTGAAGGCCTTCAGAAACTGTTAAACTTATTAGAAACCTGAACGTAATTGCATCCATCACAAGAGAATATGTTTCCTCATAATCAATGCCAAGTATTTACGTAAAGCCTTGAGCTACCAGTCTAGTTTTGTATCTCACAACCTTATTTTTCTCATTTCATTTTTCACAAACACCCATTTATAATTGACAGGCTTTATATAATTGGGTATTTGAACAATTGGTCTAAAAACTTAGCATTTTTTTAATGATTTCAATTCTGCCTGAATTGCATTTCTCCATTTTAGCCAATCACTTCTTTGTAAACATTCTTCAATGGATTTTGGTTCAAGATCCCCATTTGCATTGACTATATCATTTGCTATTGCAAATGCAAAAACATTGTCAACGAAACATCATTTCGATTCCACTTTATTCCAATGGGAATATAATTTATTGAGATCTTATCATTATCTACAACTTCTGCGTCTTCATTATTTTCAAGAACTTGAACCTTTTCTGTAATTATTTCTTTAGATGCATTTTCTAACTATTGTTTAGAGAACTCGTAAGTCCCTACAATTTCAATGGAGTCAGCATTTTGCTTTCACTTCATCTTGAATTTTTATCTTTGAAATCGACAAGTTTACCATGCTTTTGGCATATAGTAGATTCATTTGCTACTATCTTAGTACCTTTTCAACAAGAATATTAATTTGAGCAGGAGCATTCAAAACTGGGATGTGTGAACCAGTTACTTTCGTTACATTAGGCAATTGATTTGTAATTTTTTGCAAATGAATAATTTTCTTAACTTCTAGTTCACTTTGACCTGTTTGAAGGTCTAAATGAGATATAGATAATTCATCCCAAGTGAATTCCTAGTTTTTCAACTTTTGTTCCTTCTCTTAATGTTGGGAACAAATTTTTATCAAAATGACATTCAGCAAATCTTGCTGTGAAGAGATCACTAATCATTGATTTAAGATATTTAATTATAGATGGTGATTCAAAACCAGCATAAATTCCCAGCCTTTGGGGACCTATTTTAGTGCACTGTGTAGGAGCAATAGGAACCAAAAACCTTTAAATGGGATATATTTGGTTTAATCCCAAAAACAAGTTGTAATGGTGAGTGCTTATGATAAGCAGTTGGCCTTAATCGAATTAATGCTATAGCAAGCAATATAGCATGACCCCAAGCAGAAGAGGGTAACTTTGATCTCATAAGCAGCAGTCTTGCTATTAATTACAAAAGTTTAATAAGAGATTCAACTAGACCATTTTGTGTATGCATATAAGGAACTAGACGCTCAACAGTAATGCTAATTGACATACAATAATTATTAAATGATTGGGATATAAATTCTCTTGCATTATCAAGTCGGATCTTTTTTATTGTATAATTAGAAAATTCTACTCTCAATTTTATTATTTGTGTAAGCAGCCTTGCAAACGCAATATTGCGTGTAGACAATAGGTAAACAAGTGATCATCTTGTTGAAGCATCTATCAATACCATAAAATATCGAAATGGTCTAGATAGCGGATTTATAGGTCCACAAATATCTCTTTGAATCCATTCCAAAAATGGAGGAGATTCATTTTCTAGTTTAGTTGCAAAGAAGACCTGGCAATTATTACCAATGGAGTAGGCAACACACAAAAAATCACTGGATAATAGAACTTTCAAGTTCTTTAATGGTGTACATGTGAACTTTTTATAATTCTCTGCATCATAATAGCACGCAAATGACCAAGTCGATTATGCCAAAAGATAAAGGCATCTAGATTAACTATTTTCTGATTAGTCAGCATTGGATTCTATTGGATGTACATATGTATAATACAATCCAATAGAGAATGTTAACATTTTCTCCAATATTTTCTTTTTTCCAAATGCAAAAGTTGTGACGTGAAGGAATTCTATTCCATTCTCATCCATGGTTTCATTATGGAAACCATTAGGACGTATATCCTTAAAACTTAATAGATTTCGATTTGATCTACTAGAATATACAGTATTGTGTATTAATAATTTTATTCCTTTAGGCAATAAAATGCAAGTTTTTCCAGAGCCTTCAATCAACTTTGTCATACCAGATATTGTATGAATATTAGCTTCAGCTAACTTTAATCGAGAAAATAATTCTTTTTTCTCAAGATGATAGATGTTGTGCCATTATCAAAAAGACATAGTTCTCCATCATTGATCTTAGCATCATCCAATTCCATTTGGACTTAAATAAAAACAAATGAAACAAAAGAGATGAATGGAACCAAAGAGACAAACGTTCAATATATATATATATATATATATTTTGAAAATTATTATTCTTTTATTGAATATAAAAAGGACCTTACATATATGAAAAAGAAAAATAACCACTTAGGGCAAATTAGTTAAGAGGACATAATAACTCAAACTTTTAGTTGGGTATCACTAACACCATTAAACTTTTCAACACCCTCGAAAAAATAGCAACATCAAGGTGTATCAAGACCCACATTATTATGCTCAATAAAATTCATTTTTGGATCTTTTCCTTTTCCCTTTTCCCTTTTCATTAAATGAGGCTTAGTAAAGATCAACCAAATGCCTAACAGTGCGACAAGCACGCTCCCAATGTCCTTTCGCTCCACATCGATAACAAGAATTTTCAAAAACTTTTGCAAGGTTCTTTTGTAAATTTCTACCATTTACATTCTTTTATTCAACCAATTCATATTTAGAGTTGAAACCACTATGATGCTAAGTATTATTTTGACCACAGGCATGTCCTCGGCCACGATTACGACCACAGCAACGGCTACGACTACGCCCATTATTATTATATGAGGTTGTATTTGTCTTAGGTACTGGGGCTGAACTAGTTGGCTGTAACTAATGATTTTTCATCAAAAGTTCATTACTTTGTTTAGCAACAAAAAAACATGATATCAAATTTGAATTTTTTTAAAGCCACATTCTCGAAATTGTTGTTGAAGAAGCAGATTCAAGGCATGAAAAGTGGAGAATGTTTTCTCCAACATGTCTTCATCAGTAATTTTTTCTCCACACAATATTAATTGAGATGAAATGCGAAATACTGTAGAGTTGTACTCATAGATTTAAAATCTTGCAATCATAGATGCATCCATTCATAACAAGTTTTTGGTAGTATTATTGATTTTTGGTAATCATATCTTTTTTTCAAATTCTGCCATAATTCAAATGGATCTTTGATTGTCAAATATTCAGCCTTTAATCCTTAATGGAGATGATGACGAAGGAGTATTAGCGTTTTAATG